AGTGTGTGTGTGTGTGTGTGTGTGTGTGTGTGTATTACGAATCAATTCTTTCAGGTTAAGAAAGTTTTATATCGACAAAATGAAGGGTTGGCAATGGGATCTCCACTTTCACCATTTTTATGTGACTTATATATGAATGCATTTGAAATAAAAGCCATAAATAGTGCAAAATGTATACCAGATATTTGGATAAGGTATGGAGATGACACATTCTTGGTGTGGAAATATGGTATTGAGGCATTAACAGAATTTGTAAACTATTTGAATAGTATAGAACCTTCTGTACAATTTACTCATGGAATTGAGAAAAATAATAGTTTGCTTTTTTTAGATGTATTGGTAAAAAAGGATGAACGGGATTTTTAAAAACATCTATTTATAGGAAACCTTTTTCGGTTCTTATGCCATCACACCAGGATTATGTCATACAGAAACACAAAAAGTATCTGCATTTTACACTTATATTGACAAAATTGAAAAGAAAATTTAAAAACTTAGTTGTTACTGATAAAATATATAGCAGTTGAAAGAGGATTTAACCCAAGTATTATAAATAGAGCAGTTATTAATAAATTCCCTAATGTGGCAATAATAGATCAAGGTATCACATTAAAACCAAGCTATGATAAAATTAAAAAGAAATGTTTAGTGTTACCACATATTCCAGGTTTAACTACTGGTTTATTTAATTTTTTTTAAAAAAACAACAAATGTTTTGCTCTATATTTAAACTGATAAATAAAATAAAACAAATTTTAGGCAATAATAAAGACGATGTACAATTAATGAATAAATTTGGAATTTATCAAATTGAATGTGAAAGTATCTACATTGGACAAGATTGTTTTTGAATTTCGTACAAAGCTACATAAGGGCTAGCTGCCGTTAGCCGTCCCTAATTTAGCAGTATAAGACTATATGGAACGCAGCTAGTCTTCACCACCCACTGCCAACTTTTGGGCTACTCTTTTACCAACGAATAGTCAGATTGCGAGTCGAGCGCCCTATCAACCTGGCCGTGCCGGGCCTACATTGGACAATCAAAATGTAATTTAAAATATCGTATAACCGAACATAAAAGATGTATAAAAAAAATGAAAAAAAAACAGAAAATTCGGCTATAGCAGATTTCTTTGTTTGTTTGTAATTAAGTCCAAAACTACACAATGGGCTATCTGTGCTCTGCCTACCACGGGTATCGAAACCAGGATTCTAGCGTTGTAAGTCCGCAGACATACCACTGAGGTGTGGCTATAGCAGACCATGCAAGTAAAACCAAACATATTATAGGAAAAAACAATTGTATTAGCTCAACCTAAAGGTATTACATCAACTAATACTCGAGAATCGCTAGAAATAATGAAATTTAAAAAAATTTTAAATTATTAAATAGAGATGAAGGTCCGGTGAATATCTTTCTAAGAATGTGACGAGATCTGTTCCGATATTATGCACAACTGAAAAATTACAGACAGGTCACGTGATATTTAAGAAAATATAAAATGTGAAATTTATCTCCTGCAACTTCACTAATGAAGACGACCTGTGACACGTCCAAACATGTAGAGTCATCATTTTATAATGATTTTAATTGTGTGTGGATTTTAACGCCGTATATTTATTATCTGATCCAGCTGATTAGAATGAGAACCTTCTGAATATCATTATGGCATACCATGTCACTAAGCAACAACTAACTGGATGTTCTGTGAATCTCTTGAGATTTGGATAAAAAAATGCAGCTCTCAATAAATTTGGAGATATGTTAAAGTGCCTACAAGAATATATGATATACACGTATTTCCACATCAGCAAAGGAATAAAGTGACTGTAGGTCAAAGATTTTACACCAAACAATTAACAGAAGTACAGTTTGAGACTAGTGACCGTGTTTGATAGTGGTACATACCTGTAAGTCACAACCAAGCCAATTTCAGCTGGTCTGCTTCTTACGTTCTATGTCAATAGTTTAATGAGTGAATTATGAATTTCATTGATCACGCTAACTATGCAATGTACCAAAAATGTTGACAACTTTAACTCTCCATTCAACAACTAACTTCTCGGGAACTGGTTAATCAATGAATAATAATAATAAAGCTGTCTTCTTCAATCTATCTAGTAAGCTGCAGCGGCAGTTTTTTCCATTAAATCATGAGATAGTTTGATTCACACTTACGACAAATGGTTGTCAACTAAATTCCTAGCGATTTTGTGGTTGGCTTCCATTATTGATGATAACTGGGAATTCTGATACAAAAGTTGAAGGGAGTTTGCATACTTTGTTTTCATTCAAGATTAATTTTATGGTAAATTGATGGACATTTACTACTGGCTTATCTTGCACATATGCAAACACGAAGTAGTGCTTCAATGCAAGATCATAGTTTTCTAATTAATCAGGTTTATTTGATTGAGTGGGTTATTACAATTCCTAGAATGCACTACTATTTGCGTTCCTGGTACTTCTACATATACATACACACAAGATATCTGTGCACGATTAGGTTTATTTTCGCGATACTGTTCGAAAAAGTGTGTAACTATAGATAACACACCCAAAGCTGGCCATTAATTAACATGGGTATTAGGTGAGCTACTGAATGGTGATGTCATATACTGCAAATATAATTTGATTAATATGTAATATTGAGTTACATTCGTACATACATGTTATTTATCTATTTATTAATATTATTAAGAAAACCTGAATTTCAGTAAAGTTAACCTACAGACCGGATCTGTTCTAACTTTTTATCATTGTGTATGTTCTTTTTGGATTATTTAGTAAAAATAATTCCAAACGCCAGTCCACGTCATGATAAATCAATTTACTACTTCCTTGACGTTTGTCATTGTGAAAATTAGGTTATTAGGTGAAATTCACATTTGTAGGGTACTTCAAATATATTTTATTACAATGGTATATACTAACGCAATAACATTTAAGCAAGTTTGATTATTACTAACTACCAAGTTCTGAAAAACCTGGACGTTTACACGTTAGTAGAACTCTTAATTTCTACTCAAATTCATAAATATTCTTCAAAATTTCTATAAAAATATTAGAGAAAAAATAACGTTAAGTTATACAGCCAAAGAAAAACACAAATTCAAACAAACCTAAGCAAAATTATGAAACAATATACGAACTACCGAAGAAAAGTTAAAACAGTAATTAAAAAGAAAATCTGAAACGGATTTATAGTTAGATCACGAAATCGCCGAAAGTTGTTACAAAGATAGCATCAGCTGGATTTTTAATAATGGATTGTGAAATGTTTCCTTTAAGTATGGAATGTAGTGGTCTTCAGCGATATTTTCACATATCTTCAATAAGCGTGACCAAGAGTGTTCGGTAGTTTCCAGAAGTGTCATTCTTAAAGGGGAATAAAATAAGAAGTTAAATTAACTCCAGTCATTACATCAGAATGATTGTTTTTTTTTTTTTTTTTTTTTTTTTTTTTTTTTTTTTTTTTTTTTTTTTTTTT